GGTTTTCGTGGCCAAAAATACGATTTGCAGGAGCGGAAAGTATTTCCAGAGCGTGCTTGCGGCTTCCTCCTTTGCAAGCCAGCTGAGATTTGGGGCTAGCTCGTTCTTTTGGCGGGGGGGGAGGTTGAAATAAAAATCCCCCAGCTTATTACACAATAAGTAGACAATGAATAACCTGGCTGGCCTTGTTCGTTCATTAGGTTTATTTCGTGGTTTTTTGCATGGCACCCAATTGGTGGAAAGTAAATAAAGGGTTTAACTCGTATTTGGAGACCTCGTTCTTAAAACGGGTGTGCGAGCTGAGCGTGACTCAAGATGGAGCCTCCAGCTTTAGAAGCAGGAGGCCTCACATCTGGCTCAGGGCCTTCCTCGGATGCTAAGCCAGATGGACCGAACGAGAGGAGATCCTGGGTTGAAATGTGTCGGTGTTGGCTAGTCACTTTGTGAGAAACATTGGTGAAAGACTGTTGGAGGAGAGCCCTGTCAGTTTCCAATAGCCCAAGATCAGGAGGAATCTGGTAGCCCCTTTTCCGATCAGCAGATTTGATGAAAAGGCACCAGCTTTTGGGACCTGCCATTCAATTCGTCAGCCGCATAGAGTCACCGGAGTCTATGCCTCTGCCGAAGGGAGCTGTGGCTCCCGAAAGCTGGTGTAGGTATATATCATTTTTATCGAAGAATTTTTTTTACAAAGTGAAAAGCCACAGGAAGAGAAAAAAGGGAAACGAGAGAAAGTTATACAAAGAAAAATAGAAACGAAAGATGGAAAAAGAAAAATGGAAAAGAAAGAGAAAAGAGAAAGCGAACAACGGTATAGATCAAGAAAAGAAATAGTTCAAGAGGCAATTTCTGATCTTCTTTGCAGCAGTTACAAACCTAGTTAATACTGTTTCCACCCCCCCAGATTACATCATCATGGTTCTCTTCTTCCCAGAAACAGCCCTTTTAAATCAGTAAATCCCAAAATCGCCTGTTCACTTTTATCTGCTTTCAGCAAAAACCCCCTAAAGAGTTTCCAGGCTTTTATAAATTTTAATTATTGTTTCTTCCCTAATCAAACACGTCAGCTGAGCCATTTCTGCAAGTTCGGCCGTAGCGCCTTCACGATCCACTCTCCCATTGTGGATATTTCTGAATTTTTCCATCTTGGTGCATCGAATAGCCTCATGGCAGTTCCTCTGTAGAAAACCAATCGTCCGGGAACGAAAACTGGTGCCTTTTCATCAAAGCTGCTGGTCGGAAAAGGGGCTATCAGATTCCTCCTGGTTTTCGGGGAAAAGGTCTCTTTTGGGGGAGCGTAGCGTTGGAAAGGTGGATTTTGGAACTTCGGTTCCACTTTCGCTTCAAAATGCACGGAGAGAAGCTCGGTTTGGCTTCTAGGAAGGGATGGTACGAATCAGAGGGTTTAGATTTCCTTCATTTACAATCTCGTTCTCTTTTTTCTTCTTCTGAGGACCCGGGCATAGTTGAGCACAGGCCGAAAACAGACTATGCTACTCTGGATGTATATAATCCTTTTGACAACTCGGGGGTGAGTAAACTGCTTGACCGCCTCTGGAATTGGGGAATGTGTCGGTGGGTTTCCATTTTAGGTGTGTTCTGGGTTGGCTTCGCTGAGGGCTTTGGAGGAGACATTCCTGAAGCGGATCCCCCTCCGAGCTTTCAGAATCTGCCTTGATGAGATCTAGAAACATGAGCCGGCTTTTCTTGCAGGAGAAGCGGTAGTTCCCCCCCGCCACCACCAAAAAGATGGATTTCGGTCTTCTCTGTGGGCAAGGACGCGTCAGCCCGCAACGGCTAAGGAACGGCTGCAAATCGAATAGGCCCTGATTTGAATTTCAGTTCTGCTCAGAAAGCACTAGGCGGCCCTAATTGGCTGTTTCAGCCTCAGTGTTCCCCACCTGTAAAATGGGCACAACAGCGACTCTCCAGCCTGCCATGGCGATTGTGAAAGATTACCCTGCTAGGGGATCAGTGCCAAATGCTTTGAAAGCTCGGAAACTGCAGTCTTGTTATGTCACCCTTTTTAAGAGGAAGCACTGGGAATTTGAAACTCTGGATCTCTGTGCACTTTACTTCTGAGCAATACAAGTAGTCCTCACTTAACCGCCATTTGTTTAGTGACTATTCGAAGTTACAACAGTGCTGAACATAGGGACTTACAACCGGTCCTCGCGCTTCCAACTGTCACAGCACCCCCATGGTCACATCATTGCAATCTGGGCACTTGGCAACCAACTCGCACTTAAGATGGTTGCAGCATCCCGGAGTCATGTGACTGCCATTTTTGACCCTCCCAGACAGCTTCCGGCAAGCAAAATCAGTGGGGAGCCACTTGATTTGCTTAACAACTGCAGTGATTCGCTTAATGACTGCTACAAAAAGTCGTAAAATTGGGCACGGCTCTCTTAACAAATGCCCCACTTAACAGCTGATTTTCTGGTCCCTATTGTGGTTGTTAAGTGAGGACTACCTGTAGTTGTTTCTTGTTCCTTGCAGGGAGTTATTAGTGCATTTGTATTTATCCATGTTGTTCTGCGGGGTCCTGAATTTTCTCTTTTTTCTCTTGGGACAGCTTCCCCCGCCGTACAAGCCCTCGACCTCTGTTCCCACCGTCCCATCCGTGCCTGCAGCTTCTGTCTCAGAGGTCCCCAAGAAGCCAATATCCGCAGAGCCCAGGAATTACGGCTCGTACGGGACCCAGGTAAGGCGAGATAGCGTGTTCAGGAGAGGTGAGAACGGCCCGGAAGCATTTCTTCATCCCAAACACCAGCGCTGAAAAATCAGTTTGCATGTTCAACGATCACCTGGGGTTTCCAAAACCGCATTTTGATTAGGGCCGTGAAAAGCGGATGGTGCGAAGTGTGGAAATATTCGTTCACCCTCTGGAAAGTGTGTACTGTAAAAATGGATGTTGGTTTGGGGAGAATGTATTTATTTATTTACTGCCTTCTTTCAAGCTGATCTTGAGGGACAGTAGCTGGATCCTGCGTTGAAAAAACAGAGCTGAAAAAACGGAGTTAAAAAACAAAGTGTAGGTTTGACAGATGCTGTGAAAGATCTTGATGGCTTATGTGAATCCAGGAAATGGGTGCATTTAGTCACCCAGTTGGCTCAACCAGATAGTGTGGCTGGTTGTGTACTTTGCCTAAGAATGCATCCCTGCCTTGTTGGGGTGCCACGGCGTCCTCAAACATCCCTGCCGTGCTGATTAAATTTCTCTCTGGGCCTACCAACAAATTGTCATTTTCCCGTTCGGATCCTTTGCAGTTAGTTTGGCACTGCCAAGCTGCCTTGAAGTGCACTGTGTGGCTAGACCCTGCGCGGCCAGTAGGTGGCACTGCGGCTCCCTAGTTCCTTCTCCCTTTCTGATTAGGAGGCCTCCACTGCAGCTACTGCTGAACTCTTGAAACGCCAGGAAGAGCTGAATCGGAAAGCCGAGGAGCTGGACCGAAGGGAGCGAGAGTTGCAGAACGCCGTTCTTGGCGGTGGGGCAGGTACAGCTTCCTTTCCCACCTCCCCGAGGTCTCTCCAGAAATGCTCCCCGCTAAAACGCCGGCCACAACCTTCTCCCTTCTGTTTACAGCCAGGCAGAACAATTGGCCGCCGCTGCCCTCCATATGCCCCGTGAAGCCCTGTTTTTATCAGGATGTTTCTGTAGAGATTCCCGTGGAGTTTCAAAGGACAGTCAACATCATGTACTACCTCTGGATGGGTAAGCAGTGCCCAGTTTTTGCCGGTCAACACCAACCTCTCTCACCTTGATTCTGCTAGGTATAAGTCGAAGTACAGGTAGTTCTCGCTGAATGACCACAATAGGGACCAGAAAATTGGTTGCTAAGTGGGGCAGTCATTAAGCGAGTTACCACATGACTGGACCCAATTTTACGACCATTTTTACAGTGGTCGTTAAGCGAATCACCATGGTCGTTAAGCGAATCCAGCTTCCCCAGTGGATGGTTTTCGCCAGAGTTCGCTTAATGACCACATGATTCGCTTAATGACCATGGTGATTTGCTCAATGACTTGTAAAAAATCGCAAATCGCAATCACGTGACTATAGGGAGTGGTGTGACAGTTTGCGACGGTCGTAAGTGCGAGTACAGGTTGTAAAGTGCTTTTCCCAAGGACATTGTAACTTTGAACCATCGTTAAACAAATGGTCGTTAAGCGAGGACTATCTGTAGAGAGGGTCTTTCAAGTTTCCATTATAGTACCCTAAGTGTTTGAACATGCAGTCTAAGACCCCAAGTGTTTCCTGGCCTTGTCTCCCTCGAAGGGCTGGCATCAAACTTAAAAACCTGCCTTGGGGAAATTGGGGTGCTTGGGGAGAAAAAAAACCTTAATGTGTCCAATCTGTGAGTTTCCCTAATTAGAAATAGACTAAGAACAACTGGGCATATGGAGTTTTGTATGTGGCCTGGCTTGGCCCCCGTTTTCTCATAGCTGCTGACCATGCTCTCTCTCGCGCACTCTCTTTCCTTGACAGCCAGCACTGTGACTTTATTCTTCAATTTCCTGGCCTGTCTGGCCTGGTTCTGCGTAGACAACTCAGGCGGTTCAGGTTTCGGTCTCTCCATCCTCTGGGCCCTGATTTTCACACCCTGCTCCTTCCTTTGCTGGTTTCGGCCCATGTACAAAGCCTTCCGGTACGACATCTGAAGGGACATGTTACCGTCGCAGCGTTCTCACTCGGTGGGCCTGGGGCAGAAATCACAGTCAGGGTTAGAGGAAGAAGAAGAATCCGGAGGTGGTGACATTTGGCAATTTGGATTGGGAGGAAAGCGAGGACATTCCTTGGGTGGGATTTCGGCAGATCTCCTCCAGATGGGTGATGTGATAGTGACCCCCTCCCTAATGGTATGTGAGAAAGACCTGGGAAGACGGGGCGAAGAGATGCTGCCAAGGGAAGGGTCAGATAAGAGACGGCTTAGCCCTCAGCTGCATAACGGGTAGCGAAAGAGGCTCGGAAGGGACCCTCCCTAGTTTCTCAGGCTGTAAAGGAGACAACGGGAGATTTGTACTTTCAGACTTGCAAGATTCCGTCAATGCAGCTTTACCATAAAGTCAAATTCGCTCATCCGGTTGCGATTCCTGTCTGGTTTGCAGACACTAGGCTTCAGAGCTGCGGTCACACCTCCCCACTAGCGTGGGTTGCTCCCCGTGGTCCTAACGCATTCTCTTCCCATGCTCCACCCTGCTTAGAAGTGTGGCTGGTGGCGGGACAGCCCATCATACTTCGGAAGGAGCGAGACGGGCAGGGTTTGCCTAGCAAGCGGTGTTTATCTCTCCCCGTGCCTTTCTTCCCCCTGCAGGAGCGACAGCTCTTTCAACTTCTTCATCTTCTTCTTCATCTTCTTCGCCCAGGACGTGATGTATGTCGTGCAGGCCATCGGGATCCCAGGTTCGGGCTTCAGGTAGGGGTGGGCCCTAAGCTGAATCAGGCCACGTTGGTTGGTTCCTGGACTCGCAGTGCCTTTTCTTCCTCTGTGATCCTGCGTTTCGGGAGCAGATCAAACCACTGGACGCCCCTGCCTTTATCCTTGCTGCCTGTTGGTCCTTGGCGTTTCCTGTTCTCGTTTTTCTGTCTTGCAGTGGTTGGGTGCTCAGCTTCGGAGCCCTGAGGGACCACCCTGGCGTGGGCATTTTCATGATTCTAGTAGCCACGTCGTTCACAGCAGTGGCCGCACTGGGCATCTTCATGCTGAAACGGGTGAGTGGAGGAAAAAGTAGTCTCTTTCTCCAGTTTTTCCTCCTTGCAGCTCCCAGTGGGACGATGGAGCCGATTCCAAATTCCGTCAGAAGCTGCATCGGGGCCTGCTTCCTTGTGGGTGTGGCTTCAGGGCGGAGCTAACATCCCAAGGAGGGGCGTGGTCCGCGGGGTAGGGGGATTCTGGGTTGGAAGGGGCGTCTGGAAAAACGATTCCAAGCGGGTGGCCTTTGGGTATCTAAGTTAGGGCTTTGGGTCGATCCCTGACAGGTGAGTTCTGCAAAATGGAGGCCCATCTGAATTCTGCAGCATTTGGCACAAAATTTGGGTCCGTTCATGGGACTGCGATTTGCGACCACTTTTACGAGCGAATCACCCTGGTCATTAAGCGACAGAAGATCGAATGGGGATGCTTTGGGGGCGAGTCCTCCATTCCTCTCACCCTGCCAACCCCAAAATCAAACGTTTCCCCCCTCCCCAGCTGACGTGCCCTCTCTTCTCCCGCAGATCCACTCCCTCTACCGCAGCACGGGGGCCAGCTTCCAAAAAGCTCAGGCCGAATTTGCCGCCGGCGTTTTCTCCAACCAGGCCGTCCGCACAGCGGCCGCCAACGCCGCCGCCGGGGCGGCCACCAACACGTTCCAGGGCCCCTAAAGAAGCTGTGGCGCGTGGGTTGCAAAAATTGGTCCTCCGGCTTCTTCTCACTGGGGCACCTTCCGCTGAACCCCACCCCTGGGTGCCCCACGCTGCCCTCCCCACCTTGAACTCCTTCCTTTGCTGGTTTGAGAAGCTTCTGCTGCGCGACCTCATCAGGGACTCGGTGCTCGCGACGGACCCCCCCGGCCGTGGGGACTCTGGCCCGCCTGGGGCTGAAGATCCCGACCTTGGAAAGCTGCTTGAATCTTTTCTCCCTCCATCGGGGAGCTACGGAGGACGGAAACCCTGTTTTCCTCTCCCTGCGACTTCTCCAATTCACGCAGCCCGGAAGGAGCAGGGGCCTTTCCTTCCCTTCCCCATCCTGGCCCCCCCCCAGGAAATTTGGCCTAGGTGTCTCTGCCTTTGTGTCCTCCGCCCCCCCCCCCCGTTGGCGCTGATCTTCCCTGCGTTAATTTAGGCTGGATGGCTCCTTGGCCCCCTGCTGCAGCAAAGCCCCCGTCTCCTGCCAATTTCCTGAGCCCAGCGCGACCCATTTGTTTCTCCCATTAAGAGGTTCACCCCCCCTCCTTTCTTTTACTTCGATCGCTTCTGCCAGTGCTGGCCACTGGGAGATCAGTTCAGTTTCTGCCGTTTTATTAGCAACAGGAATGGTTTTATTTGGCCCGAAAGCCCGCTGTGGCCATCTCTGGCCCCTTCTGTTTTCTGGCTGCGGGGGGTGAACCTCCAAGCCTTGGTCCTTCCCCCACCCCTCTCTTTTCCACGCAGCCCAGGCGGAGCGAAAGGGCACTTTGGCGGGCGGCTTTGCTCCTCTGATCACCCTCGAGCCTGGGAAATGGGGCTGCTCGAGGTGGGGGGGAGGAGGGAGGGCCGAGTGATGCACCCCACTTTAATTTTGCACCGTATTGCAGCCCTGGGTGGATTTAAGTGCTGATTGGTTTTTCCCAAATTCCACCTTCTGCCCCGTGTCTTTTTTGCCCTCCCTGTGGCTGGCTCCACGTTTCTCCCTCGCCATCGCCCTTCCTTTCTTCTCCGCCTCATTTTATTTCCCTCACCCCCAAACCCATCTGACTGCCCCCCTGTTTCCCCCCCCCTTGTTGGTATCTGAAGTTTCAGACCCTCTACTGTTTTCCCAACATTTCCCCCTCTTCTGTAATATCCTCCTCCCTCTCCCTGCCCAGGATCCGTGGGGTGGCCCCGTTGTTCTCCGTGCGTCTATCAGTGTGCGTTGATCCCCCCCCCAGATATTATTATTGTCATTATGATTTTGCTGTGCCAAATGCAAAACGGACGGTGGAACTTTATTTAAGGAATAAACTACATTTTATCTCAGAAGTGGCTTTGTGGGGTAGGGAGGGTTTCTCGTGGTGGGGAAACTTTGCAGCCCCTTCCCCAAATGGCGAGGGGTCGTCGGGATCAGCCCTTCGTGAGAGGGAGCTGCTTGGAGGGCAGTGCCTTT